CCCCCAACAGCGGAGGAAAAGAAAAAGCTCGCAGAAGAGAAGGCCATGGAGATAGAGGAGCAGAACAAGATCATTGCCGTGGAGAAGGCAGAGGCCGAGACGGCCCTTGCCGAGGTCATGCCCATCCTAGAGGCCGCCAAGCTGGAGCTGCAGAAGCTGGACAAGTCAGATGTGACAGAGATTCGGTAATGATGGCAGTCTCCAACTGTGCTTGTCCCAAACACCACTCCTGAAAGCAGGCATCATGATCGTGGTGGTTAGGCATTTATGGAGCCTCTTGTGTGCCGGCCATGGTGCTGGGCACATACCATGTGGGGACTGTTACTGTCTTCATTTGCAGATGAGGGAAATGCGCCCAGGGAGGCGTCCCCATCCTGTCCTCATTTTCAGAAGGGGTTCTGTCATCTGGCCCCATAGTTGCATCTACTGGGAGAGAGACTCCTGTTTCCAGGCTGGTAATTGACTTGTCCTGGTGAAATGGTGCTGGTTCTCTCTTCCGAAGGGCTGAGCAGCATTCCCTGTCGAAGGCTGTGCCTTTGCTGTTTGCTTATTGGTGAAATGTATGAATTCAAACAGAACATTTAGCTGGTTCCAGAGCAGGGGGCCTGGTGCTCTTTGCAGACCCTCCAGAGATGCTGCTGCTGTTAGCAGGAAGCCATCATTTCAGAGTTCTGCAGTGGTTCCAACCAAGGTGTGAGGGTGGACTTTTTAAAATTGCAGTAGCCCTGGCCAGTGTTGTGTAGTGGTTAGAGAATCTGCCTTCGCTCCCAAGGGTCTCAGGCTCAATTTCTGGTCAAGGGCACATACCTGGGTTGCAGGTTTGATCCCTGGCCCTAGTTGGGGCACATGTGGGAGGCAACCAATCAATGTGTCTCTCTCACATCAATGTTTCTCTCTCCTCCTCTCCCTCCTTCCTTCCACTCTCTCTCAAAATCATATGGGAAAACCCTCAGGTGAGGAGGATGATGGGGATGATCATGGTGATGATGGTGATGGTGGTGATGGTGGTGGTGGTGGTGATGATGGTGATGGTGATGATGGCAATAATGACAGCACTACCATTGAGCCTGAGGAATTACCCCAGAGTGTAGTTAAAAACACAGATTCTCAGGCTCCACCCTGACCTACTGATTGAGACCCTTGGGGGTGGCCTGGGTTTACATCTTAATGACACCCCCCACTATGGTTCTGATGCTGAGTCAGGTTCCAGGAGCCCGGGCTGGCACCTAATGGATGAGACCCCAAACCTGCCCTTGAAGAAGCTCACCCCCTGGGAGCCCAAGTCCAAGTTGGGACGTGGCTCCCTTTCCTTCCACACATCACATCCCCACCTCCAGGGCCTAGCTCTGGACTGAGCCGTGTGCCCTGGAGTCTCATTCAGGCTGGCTCTGAGCCACACCTCCCCTCTCTGTTTCCTGCCAGGTCCTTTGCTAAACCCCCAAAGCAGGTGCAGACGGTGTGTGAGTGCATCCTCATCATGAAGGGGTACAAAGAGCTCAACTGGAAAACCGCCAAGGGCATGATGTCAGACCCAAACTTCCTGCGGTCGCTGATGGAGATTGATTTTGATTCAATAACCCAGGGCCAAGTTAAAAATATCAGAGGTGAGTGTAGACAAATGTAGGAACAGCCAGGATTGTTCTTAATCTGGCGTCTCAGTCTCAGGGGCAGGGATGGAGAGCCAGGAGGGAGCTTGTTGCAGGCAGACCCTCCTGTGGGGTCACAAGGTGGCAGCATGACCCTGTGGATGGAGTGGGTGGGATGGCGGTTCCCAGAGAAAGATGGTGGCACTGTTCCGTGAAGTAGGAGGGTGGATGCTGGCTGGGCTGAGTGCTTGATGCTACAGTTGTTCTGGTTCTCCCTGGGAGGAAACAGGACCCTCTCACAGAACCCAGACTAGTCTCATCTTCTGTGCTTGTCTGATAGGCATGGTGGTGCCTGGAGTTGGCCTAACCCTTGACTTCTCCTCTTGTGCCTCTTGCCAGTATAAAGTCTTCTGCAGGTCCCTGGGGGAGGGCTCGGAGGAGGGGACAGCACCGTCCCTGGCCAGCCCCTCTGACCTGTTATAGGCTGCTCACATTCCCTCCTGCCTGACCCCTGACCTGCCCAGGCACTGAGCGGTAGAATGATGACAGTCTTTGCAAAAGGCAGTATGGGTTTATAGCATCACTGTCTGTCCTGATGTTTGTTCAGAACTTTATTGCCAAATGCTCTTTTGCGGCCACTTAAAGACAAAACTAAGTGAAACACAAAGAATGACAAGAACCAGAAACCCAGGGTATTGTCTTTGCTCGAGTGTTGGTTAGACGCGAACTTACTCCGGGGGTGAGGGTGTGGTTTAAGTTGGCAGAGACCTGGAATGGCCTGCGAATCCCAGTTAGCTCCCTGCTCTGAGCTACTTTGGTGCCCAGAAGGGAGTCCCCATTGACACCCTGGGTCCCCTGGGGCTGCTGGTTGCCCTACGGAAGCACCTGGGTTGTAGGATGTTCCGGTGGCGGTGACTTGTGCCCCTCACTCATGTCTTAAACATCCTCCTACAGAACACATGTTTGGGGTCCGACTTGCCCTGTTGCCGTGGGACAGCGGTTTGGGCCCCCTCAGATGGCAGGAATAAGGATCTGGATCTGCTCTCCTTGTCCATGGGCAGCTCATCTCCCATTTTATCTTCCCTCGGGGATGCTTGCCACTCATTGAGACCATTGACCTGCAGGTCTCCTGAGGACACTCAACACCACGATTGAAGAAATGGAGGCTGTGAGCAAAGCAGGCCTGGGGATGCTGAAATTCGTCGAAGCCGTGATGGGCTATTGCGACGTTTTTAAAGAGATCAAGCCCAAGAGAGAGAAGGTACTGCCGGTCTGTGAGATGCACACACCACTGCGGAGGGACCTTTTTGGAGTCAGAGTTACTGTGTCCATGGCATAGCTGGGAGAATTCTGGCAAGGTTCTGATTTCAAGCCCCATAACATTTCCCCCCAATACATGATAACCCCGGATTACAACTCAGGTTTGACATAGTGGAATCTGACAGACACTGTCTGAAAGATTTTCCAGTTTTGTGTGAAGAGAGCAGGATAAAAGATGCTCAGAATCGTTGATTGGGACAGAAGCAGAGTTCCTCAACCTCAGTGCTACTGATATTGGGGCCGGCAGTTCTTTGTCCTGGGGGCTGTTCTGCATACTTGCTTACAGCAGCCCTGGCTTCCAGATGCCACTGCCCCTGCCCCCAAGTTTCAACAACTGAAAACGTCGCCAGTCATCGTTCCATGTCCCGGGGGGCGGGGGAGCAACAAAATTGGCCTGGGAGAGAACCACCAGGTCATAGTAACATGTGAACCCACGATGATGAGAGAGAATTACAAGGTTGATGCTGTCATGTGAGCCACAGTGTGACCTGTATAGCTCAGAGTTTGTTCCTCAGAGATCTTAGGACCCCATAGCAAGACCAATACTGTCTTCAGAGCCACAGTCACCTCACCGCGACCTAGTGCACATGGGAAATGAGCCCTCTGCACACTTGGATGCAGGATGTCTTTTTCTAATGGGTTGTGGGACTTTTGCAGCAGACCACTGAGGAGGAAGCTAAGAAAAGAAGCATGCACCTCGCTGCGGCACACAGTCGCCCCTGAAGTTCACAGACCCCATTAGAAACGCAGGGTGGACAAAGCCCGGGCATGGGGTACTTTCTTCCCCACCCTACTACAGACCTTTTCCCGACCGTTTTGTGGATTATCTTCCCCTAGGTGGCCAGGCTGGAGCGGAACTTTTACCTCACGAAACGTGAACTGGAAAGGATCCAGAATGAGTTGGCAGCGATCCAGAAGGAGCTGGAAGCGTTGGGGGCCAAGTATGAGGCGGCCATCCTGGAAAAGCAGAAGCTGCAGGAGGAGGCAGAGATCATGGAGCGCCGGCTCATCGCAGCTGACAAGCTCATCTCAGGGCTTGGGTCTGAGAACATCAGGTCAGCTGGCTTCATGGGCACCTGCCCCCATGAGTGGCTCTGAGTAAAACTCAGTGGCCTGTGTGAAAGTCAGCAACAGAGGTTCTTGCCACGTAGCATCTGTTGCATTTTCATCTGAAAGTCGAGGGAGTCTGATTTCTCTATTGGCGTGGTAAGGTGGCCAGTGGCCACTGTATCGGGTGTGTTTTCCCTGGCTACTGAGTGATGTGTACTAAGTGACTATGCAGGGCTAAGGAGACAGAGCAGCTGTGGAAGCAGAGACAAAGTGGCCTCCTCTGAGGTGCCTCACGTCCTGGGAACGCTTGAGTCCTGAGCCCACTCTGGATGGGTCTGGAGGAGGAGCCCTCCTCTGTCACCGGACACCTGTAGCTTATTCACTCCTGAGCTTCCCTCCTAAATAGGTGGGATTGTTTGATGCTCATGGGCAAGACTGTTTGGCCATAGCTGGTCCACCAGATAGGTCAGTATTTTCTAATCCAGCACCCACAGACATGGTGTGGAAAACCCTGGAAATACTGTTTGCTTATGGGAAACAGACCACATTCACTATTTCTAAAACCCAGAGGGCCTTGTTCAGTTACCAGATGAGGCCAAATGAAACACCCGATTTTGTCTTGGGTAGAATTGGGTCACCAAGCAGGACCAGACCTCCTGAGCTCTGCTGGACGTGTTTATGTTATTGAATAAGCGTTCGGAAACAATGCAATTACTATGTAATAAATAGCTTTGAGACAAAATGCGCCCCACATTTATCGAGGCCCTTGTTAGATGCCAGGTTCTGCCAAACCATGGAATTCAGTTTTTCAAAACACTGGGTTCGTAGGGAGGGAAGTGGGAAAACGAGCTGGCAGTCTCAAAACAGGGAGTATCTTTAAACATTTCCTTCTGGCCAGCCCATTGACTATGGGCCCAGGTCGTTCTTCTACAATGTTCCTTGTGACTGTGTCGGAAGGTAACAGCTCACCGCAGCCCCCCTTTCCGGCGCCAGGTGGCTAAAGGACCTGGACGAGCTGATGCACCGGCGTGTCAAGCTGCTGGGGGACTGCCTGCTCTGCGCGGCCTTCCTCAGCTACGAGGGCGCCTTCACGTGGGACTTCCGCGACGAGATGGTCAACCAAATTTGGCAGCAGGACATCCTGGAGCGGGAGATCCCCTTGAGCCAGCCTTTTCGATTAGAAAGCCTGCTCACAGATGATGTGGAGATCAGCAGGTGTGTGTGACCCAGAGCCCACAGGACGGCGGGAGGGGGCTCGGGCTGGCAGGGCCTAGCGCAGTGTGCTGCAGACCCGCTCCTGGACTCGGGGGGCGGGGGGGAATTGAGAGGTCTCTGGATTGGCAGGTTGTTCTGGAAGCTGACCCACCACCCTTCATCCTCGGTTCACAACTCTGGCAAGAATAGTGGATCTTCCTGTCCCTCTCCCTTCTAGGTGGGGCTCCCAGGGGCTGCCCCCCGATGAGCTCTCCATCCAGAACGGCATCCTCACTACGCGGGCCAGCCGCTTCCCTCTGTGCATCGACCCCCAGCAGCAGGCCCTCAGCTGGATAAGGAGGAGGGAGGAGAAGAACAACCTGCGGGTACCGGCTCCTGCGGGGGCCCCCTGCCCTCTTCAGGGCATGGCCCAGCCCCTGCCTCCTCTCCTGGCCTTCCCTGGCCCCCAGCAGAGCCCAGCCAAAGTGCCACTACCTGAGCCCCCGCGCGGAGCCCCCCAGCTCCCACTGTTGAGTCAGGAGGGTGGCACGAGCCCTGGCTTCTACTCTGCTCTTGGTCATGCACTGCCCCCGGGCTGGGTGCATCCTGAGGGCGGAGAGGGTGCTTGGCTCACCTTAGTGTCCCCTCCACAGTACACAGCTTGGTCGCCTTAGGCGCTCAGTTGCTTTGTTTTGGAAGGGAGGGGGAGCGGGCTCGATTAAGATGTAATTCACATGCCCTGGCCGGTTTGGCTTAGTGGTTAGAGCGTGGACCCGAGGACTGAAGACTTTCAGGTTTGATTCCGGCCAAGGGCATAGTCCCTGGCCCCAGTTAGCATAGTCCCTGGCCCCAGTTAGCGCCTGTGCGAGAGACGGCCAGTGTGTGTCTCACATCGATGTCTCTCTCCCCCTCCCTTCCCCTCCACTCTCTCTGAAAATCAATGGAAAAAACATTCTCTGGTGAGGATTGAAAAAAAGTAATTCACACACCATACAACTTACCCGCTGACGACATACGGTGCCGTGGTTTTTAGTGCATTTACAGAATTGTGAAACAACCACCAGGATCAGTTTTTATCTCAGGGACATGCACATAAGGGAAAGAGGGTTAGGACGCACATGTGCTCCGTGCTTGGATCCTCACGCGTCTGGTGAATGATGTAGCAAAATCCTCTCACAGTCGCTCAGCTGCTGAGCTGTAGTTTTTTGAACGAGAGGCTGAGCCTGGCCCTTCCTTGTGCATTTCTGGGCCCATACGGTGTGCACGCCTCGCTTCCTGCCCATCCCCTGTCCTTGTCCCTGCGGGCTCCCTCCAAGGTTCCGATGTGGCCACTCCCCACTTGGCCCCTTATGTTTGGCAAGTGGGCTGAGCCTCCGCACCTGCCCCCTGCCCTCCAGGTGGCCTCCTTTAATGACCCTGACTTCCTGAAGCAGCTGGAGATGTCCATCAAGTACGGGACGCCCTTCTTGTTCCACGATGTGGACGAGTACATCGACCCCGTGATCGACAACGTCCTGGAGAAGAACATCCGCGTGTCCCAGGGCCGGCAGTTCATCATCCTGGGAGACAAGGAGGTAGACTACGACTCCAACTTCAGGCTCTACCTGACCACCAAGCTGGCCAACCCCAGATACTCCCCATCTGTGTTCGGGAAGGCCATGGTGATCAACTACACCGGTAAGGACCTGCAGGACCGAGGGGGCAGGTGAGGGTGGCTGTGGTGGACACCACGATTGGAGAGCACGGCTGTCACGGCCGTCATTTCATCCAGTGACCCCACATCCTTCTCCTGGCCACACCTTAGCTGGTCAGTTCTCAGTGACAAAGCCACACCCAGGAAGGCCAGGAGCTCTGGGTCTGGGGTGGCTGAGTCTGGACCAGGGGGCTCAGCTATTCACATTAAGAGGGAGGTGAGATCCCTTTCTGCAGGGCAGGGAGTAATCCTGTATCTGTGTTTAAATGCTGCATAACTGAATTCCTTTAGGAACTGGACGCCACTTCTCAAATTTTCTGGGGTCGTCACACAGGCCCTCAAGCAGGGTAGTCGGGCCTGGGTGCTTTCCACTTGGTTTTCCAATGTGTGGGGCCCTGGGTTTATTTGGCGCCTCTTCACTCTGCCCCCGCTCTGTAGAGCTGTGCCTTCATTCCGCTCCGACATTTGACAATTTTTACCTTGTGGCTTCAGTGTGGTTTTATCAGGAGTATGAGTTCTCATGTTCTTGAAGGATAGGCACATCTGTGTCAGCAGGAAGACATGTGACCAGCCTGTCAGGGGAACGCCGCAGTGAGGGCCACCCCTATCCCTGCAGTCACTCTGAGCTTGGGGGGGGGTGGCCACAGCAGTGAGGGCCGCCCCTGTCTCCCACAGTCACTCTGAAGGGCCTGGAGGACCAGCTGCTAAGCGTGCTGGTGGCCTACGAGAGGCACGAGCTGGAGGAGCAGAGGGAGCACCTCATCCAGGAGACGAGTGAGAACAAGAACCTGCTGAAAGACCTAGAGGACTCCCTCCTGCGGGAGCTGGCGACCTCCACGGGGAACATGCTGGACAATGTGGAGCTAGTGCATACCCTGGAGGAGACAAAGTCCAAGGCCACGGAGGTACCAGCCGCACAGGAAACGGCTGAGCTAGGAGCCGGTCTCCACAGCTACTCAGGGAGAAAAATCAGACTCCAGGGTCTCAGGGCCTTATTCGTGGTCCCGGGTCCTAGAATCGGAGTTTAGGTGGGAGGACATCAGCCTATGCTCTCGTCGGACTTGGGCTTTGAGTCACCTTAGGGCTACGTGATGAGAAATGGCCACCTCTGGTGAGGTGTGTAATGGGGAGGGGTATCCTAAAGGTGTTACCAGGCTCCTGTGCATCAGGTCAGCCATTTCAGTTGAGAGTAAGGGAAAACCCAACCCTACTTGGCCTAAGTGAAAAGGGAATTTATCAGCTGAGAAAACAGAAAGGTCCATGGTGGCTTCAGGTAGGGCTGGATTCAGGACTCCAAGCATATCACCAGAACTCGATTTATTTTCATGTCTGGGCTGGGCCTTCTTCTGGGTTTGCCTCCTCATAGAGCCAAGCTACCCTCGTGGTCTCAAGATGGGTCTGGCCTCATGTCCTTTTAGGTTCAAGTCCGAAGAGAAGTGTGAGAATCTTTACCTGTCCCTATCACAAAGGTCCTGAGAGTCATTTAAGTCACATGCCCACCCCAAACCAGTCCCATGGCCTGGGGATGTATTGCATGGCTTGGTTGGGCCTTGGTCACAGGCTTTTCACTTGGAGCTGGGCTGGAGCCCCACATGCAGAGCAGAATGGGGGAGTTGTGTCTCCAAGTAAAGTGTGGGGGTGTTAGGAGAAAGCACAGTGGAGCGAAGCCACTAGTGTCCAGCCCCTCTCATGCCAGGGTGGTGCTCCCTCCCATTCCCGCCCTCTACCTTCTTACTTTCCCACCCATTTTATATCCCTTTGATTGTGGGTGTATATCTCCTGTCTTCTTGGCAACATGCACCTTTTCTGTACTTTTATTAGGTGTCAGAGAAGCTCAAGCTGGCGGAGAAGACAGCCCTGGACATCGACAGGCTGCGGGATGGCTACCGGCCCGCGGCTCGGCGGGGTGCCATCCTGTTCTTCGTGCTGTCAGAGATGGCCCTGGTGAACTCCATGTACCAGTACTCCCTGAGCGCCTTCCTCGATGTCTTTGGGCTGTCGCTCAAGAAGTCGCTGCCCGACTCCATCCTCATGAGGCGACTGAGGAACATAATGGACACGCTGACCTTCAACATCTATAACTACGGCTGCACAGGTGGGTACCTCCTGGCTCCGACAGGACGGCTGCGCTGCGCACATGAGCCTGCGGGGTCTGCATCCAGACTCAGCCTCGTTTTAACTCCATCACCTCTTCAGAGGCTCTGTTTCCCAACACAGCCACATTCTGAGGTCCTGGGACTCGGGGCTGCAGCTTATGGATTTGCGAGGGGGCAGAATTCAGCCTGTATCAGTCAGATAGGGAAAAGGCTAAGGACTGTTGTTCCTTTAGGGCTCACTTAAGGAGCCAACTTTCTAACACATATAAAGTTGCATCCTCCTGTTGGTACAGAGTTTGAGAGTACGCTGTGTGGCCTCTACAGCAGAGGTCGGCAAACCCTGGCCAGCAGGCCCCCTCTGGCCACCCTGCTTTTAGAAGTAGCATTTTATTGGAACATAGTCACACGTGTTGGGCATGATGTGTGCATTGAGCCTGTATTTTTTGGACTCAGAGTTATGGACTTCAGATGCAGTGAGGGCTGAATGCAGCCGTGCCACCTGGGGCCTGTCACGTTTCTCCTATGTAACCATGTTGTATGTGAGAAACTTTTAAAATCAGAGTCTATCTTGCTGTTCTTCAGGATTGTTTGAGAGACACAAGCTGCTCTTCTCTTTCAATATGACAATCAAGATAGAACAAGCAGAAGGACGGGCTCCCCAGGAGGAACTAGACTTCTTCCTAAAAGGTAATGAGATGGCCTTGCTCCACTCACAGGTGCACAAGCCTGTTCCTTAAAACTAACAGCAGAAACTCTCTTTAGAGCTTGGCTTCCAGGTGCACTTGTCATTAAATGTTTCTGTGGACGATTCTAGCCTCAGAAAGGGCTCTGTTTTGACATGGAGCCACCACTCCTTTCCTGACAGCTGCCTTGGGGCTGGAAGACACTCTGAGCAGCTGGCAGAACCGCAGGCGGGGACATGGGAAGCCTGCGCTGCCTCCTCTCTCCAGGCCCCCTTTTCTAGTGGGTTTTCCCCAAAAGTGTGGGAAGTCCAAGTGCAGAGCTGCCTGCTCACTCCCAAGAGCTGCCTGCTCCTGGTACGCTGACCGGCTGCTGATTTCCTCTCCCGCTGTGATTAGGAAACATTTCCCTGGAGAAGAGCAAACGGAAGAAGCCCTGTGCATGGCTGCCCGACCAGGGCTGGGAGGACATCATGCTTTTGTCAGAGGTGTTCCCAGACTACTTTGGGAGTCTCCCTGATGATGTTGAGAAGCATCCAGCCATCTGGCAGGAGGTGAGCTCCCATTTTCCCCCTCCTTCCATGTGTCCAGCCTCCAGACTGAAACTGCAGCCTCACCCCTTGTGGGTGCAAAGATATTCCTGTGAGCGATCCATTCAGAGTGTAGTCAGTGCCCTCTTGTTGCCTGGATGGAAGTCGTCTTTGCGCAGTTCAGCTAGCTGTATGGGAGAGCCACCCATCTGGCCATCCATCTGTCCNATCACCCCCAAGTGTAGGTTAGGTGTCCTGCAAGTGCCCAGTATGGATCTGTAGGGTCCCTTCCTAGTACTTATTTTAGTTGTCACAGAGTTTTATGTTACTTCCCAGTACATTGTGAGCTCTGTGAGAATAAGACCCCTTCTCTCTTCTCAACAGATCTTAGCCTAGTGCCCAGCACATTGTATGCCCTCATTAACTATATGAATAAATGAAATCCATGGCTACTGCTTCTTGGCCAAGTCCACTCACAAGATGATAACTCTGACCCACTTACAAGAACCAGCTCAAAAACTCCCCCATATTTGCTTTCTGTGGGTAGAAAATTATCTGCTAGGCAGAAAAATGCTTTAAAAACAGAATAGTTGAGCACTGTGTAAATCACTAATCTGTTTACTGTTTTTATTTGCATTAGATATGAAATTAAATATTGCATTGAGTTAAATATTAATATTGCATTAAATATAAATTACGTTTTAAAAATTAATTACTGGATGCTTTTCTTTGGAGCTGGGTTATGAAGGCTTTAGCACATTCAGCCCAGCATGTGCTAACTGGGTATAGTTGTTTATGATGTCATTGATGACTTATTAAAGCCCACAGGACTAAGGGAAAAGGCAAAAGGCTGTGAAGGCCTGCAGATGTGTGATGTGGCCAGGCGGGCAGCCCAGCACAGTGAGAGCTAATGTCAGATGTCAGGGAGACAAAGGAGAGGAGAGGAGGGGGGTATATAATTGATCCTGCAATTGTTATTTGCCATATACATTGTCCTAAGCAATTTACAAGGGTTATCTCATTTAATTCTCATTAGAGACAAATGAAACAGGCACAATTATTTTTCTACCTGACACAGGTAAAAACTGAGCCTCAAAGAGGTAATGAGATGTGAGCAAGGTGTCCTAGCCTTGAGACTATTGCAGGCGGTAGACTCATATTCTTAACTAAGATTATCTATCGTTTCGTGCAGGAGGTGCTTTAAGGTTGCTATGAATTGAAATGGACACAGGAGTCTTAATTTTGGTTGTTTCTATTCCTAATGGCAGTGGAACATAATGGAATTTAGATTTGTTTATCCATCCATTCACCCACCCATCCATTCACCCACCCACCCACTCACTCATCCATCCATCTACCCACTCATTCATCCATCCAGCTTCTAAGAACTACTTACTCAGCATCCACCATGGGTCATGTCTCTTGATGGCCACTGGCACTCAACAGTGACTAAGACTCAGACCTCCCCTTCCTGAAGTGCATAGTTTGGGTTAGAAAATGACAGCTCTGACCAGCAGTGGCCGTGATGCTCATACTTCTGTAGATTTTATCCCTTCACAGCGGCTTTTGGGACCTCCATGTGAAAATAGGGGCACATCACCACATAGCTGACGCCACCTGAATGCCCTTTGCTCTTCCCAGTGGTATGACCTGGATTCGCTTGAGGAGTTCCCGTTCCCCTTGGGCTATGACAAGAGCATCACTCCTTTCCAGAAGTTGCTCATCTTGCGCTGTTTCCGTGTTGACCGGGTGTACCGGGCCGTGACCGACTATGTGACTGTGACCATGGGGGAGAAGTAGGTAGTGCTTCTGTGTGCTTGGCCCTCCTGTGGGGCCGTCCCCACCTGCAGGGGACTGTCACAGCCCCGTCGCTCAGAAGTCCACCCCCAGCATGTGGGTTGTGCACAGATGCTGGATTCTAATATGGGGTGGGTGGAGCAAAGAGCTCCAGAGAGGGATGGTTCCAGGTGGTGGACACAGGAGAGTGCCTGGTAAGATGGGCCATCCCTCAGCCTGGAGCTGGTCTCCCAGGAGCCTCCTAAATCAGAGGGCACGGTCCTCTCTCCAGGTATGTGCAGCCCCCGATGATCAGCTTTGAGACCATCTTTGAGCAGAGCACCCCAAACTCACCCATTGTGTTCATCCTGAGCCCCGGCTCTGACCCTGCCAGTGACCTCATGAAGTTAGCCGAGCACAGTGGTTTTGGGGGAAACCGCCTCAAATTCCTTGCCATGGGTCAAGGCCAAGAAAAGGTAGGTTGTTGGAAGGAATAGCTTTGACTTCAGGTGAGGTCCCCGGCCTCTGTTAGGAAGGAGTTAGCACCTGGTTCTAAGCCAGCGGGGCCACTGCACATAGGAGCTCCAGGTACTCTGTCTGCAGAGCCATCAGCACCCGCGAGGATGGCAGTGGGTTTAGGAACAGTGGCTCTAGGTCCCACATCTGCAGTCAGCAGCCCAGCCGTGCATGGTCAGCGAGTGCTGCTCTTTTCAGAGCCCTTGCTCACCATCACCTCCTTCTGCCCCTGCAACACCCCGAGGCCTTGTGGGTCAGGGTGGTCATTGCCCCAGGGGCAGGGCAAAGGGAGTGGTCAGGGAGCAGGTGCACTGTGTCGGAGAAGCTGGGGCTTTGTGGGCCAGTCCGAGGGAGGCCATTGAGGGAGGCCCGGATGCTCCCCCAGCTCCCAGCCATGACCAGCCCAGCGCACGGGGGCACTGAAGGAATTCTAAAAGACTGTTCCTTCGAAGGCTCCGTCTATAGCTCCTGGATCTCCAGCTTCTGATGGAGTTGGGACCTGGAGTGGGTCCCTGGGAGAGCCCGGGGCTGGTGGGGCCCAGGACCCCAACCCTTCTCTTCTATCGGTGCAGGTGGCTCTGCAGCTGCTGGAGACAGCGGTGGCTCGGGGGCAGTGGCTGATGCTGCAGAACTGCCATCTCCTGGTCAAGTGGCTGAAGGACCTGGAGAAGTCCCTGGAGAGGATCACCAAGCCCCACCCTGACTTCCGCCTGTGGCTCACGACGGACCCCACCAAGGGCTTCCCTATCGGGATCCTGCAGAAGTCCTTGAAGGTCTGGTTTCAGGATGGACACCGGCATCCCACTGCCCAGTCCCTCAGCTCATTGTTTGCTGTGTGTGCGTGTATGCTTGTGTCTAGAAATAAACTTAGGCAGTGGCTGGACACCCCTTCCCAATTCCCTCCCTCCCTTGTCAGAGAAGCACTGTCCTAAATTGGTGACAGTCTCAGGTGACAGGAACGACTCCTAGGCCCATCTTTACCCCCTTCTGCATGTAACCAAAACAGAGCCTAGGTTAGTTTATACGGACTTAACTTCTAACACTAGGCCCACCCCAGCCTGCAGCCCTCCAGAGGTCTGTGCAGAAGCTTTGAGTGGTTTACATGCCCATTTAACTTGCAGAGAATTTTTTGGAAAGGTTTTGTCACCTGTTTCTGGGGCAGGTAGAGGGAAAACATAGCTCCTTCCATTTTACGTTTGAGGATCCCTGACCCAGTTCAGGAGGTTGAAGAACCTTCTCAGGTCATTTGCTGAGCAAGCAGCAGAGCTTCTGAGAAGAGAGTCCAGTTCCTTAAGTTCTCCTGGGCCCTTAACAAGAGACAGTTGCTGTTCAAGGAAGAGGATGGATGGCTGCTGATGACAAAGGGGCAGCCAGGAAGTCTCCACATCGCACGCTCTTCGGAGCTCTGTGGCTTTCCTCACCACCCATCTCCTCCCCTGGCAGGTTGTCACGGAGCCACCCAACGGGCTGAAGCTCAACATGCGAGCCACATACTTCAAGATCTCGCCCGAGATGCTGGACCAATGCCCTCACCCCGCGTTTAAGCCCCTGGTCTACGTGCTAGCCTTCTTCCATGCCGTGGTGCAGGAGCGGAGGAAGTTCGGGAAGATCGGCTGGAACGTCTACTATGACTTCAACGAGTCTGACTTCCAGGTGAGGGAGGGCAGAGGGGCTCCTGCTCCCCTCCTCACGGGGCGGAATGTGATGACATCAGGGGTTCAGTACAACTGAGCCACCTCCTCCTCTTTCAAGGTCTGCATGGAAATTCTGAACACGTACTTAACCAAAGCCTTCCAGCAGCACAACTCTCGGATCCCGTGGGGCAGCCTCAAGTACCTAATTGGAGAGGTAGGAGTGTCCTAGGGGGCCCTCCATTGCTGCCTCCTGGGGCTAGAGCAGGGCTGTGGCCTGGTGCCCTTGAACATGACAGCTGTCCCGTGGCCTGCATGTGGCTCAAAAGTGGCTGCTGCTGCTTTGGTTGGTTGGTTTTGCTTGTTTCCTGGGTACACAGCCTCTGGCTCTCACACCTGTCACTCAGGTCATGTATGGAGGACGGGCCATCGACAGCTTCGATCGGCGCATCCTGACCATCTACATGGACGAGTACCTGGGGGACTTCATCTTCGACACCTTCCAGCCCTTCCACTTCTTCCGGAACAAGGAGGTGGACTATAAGATCCCTACAGGCGACATGAAGGAGAGCTTTGTTGGTGAGCTTCCTCGGACATCATGGCATATTTCAAGTCTCTCTCCTCAGGGCCTACACATTTCAGCAGCTCTGTGTACTTGGTTGGCCTGAGGGCTCTTTGGTCCCTTTGCGTGGGGGGCTCCTGGTTGGTGGGTGTGGCCTGTCACAGGGCTGTTCCCAGCTTCGGAGCTGACGGAGCTTGTTTAGATTTCTGGTCCTGGAATGATGGCAGATAGGTCAGATTCTGCCTGGAGGAACAGGGTGGCTCCCTCGAAGCTCACTGAGCTGTTTTTGTAAAAGATGGACACAGAGCTGGATGGGGCATGCTGGGGAAAAATTTTAACTGAAAACGTGTCACTAAGCAGTGGAAGTTAGTCTTCAGTGTCCAAAACCGAGGGTGGCAGTGGTGTGACCTGTTGCCTGATTGTAGAAGCCATCGAGGCCCTCCCGCTGGCCAACACACCTGAGGTGTTCGGTCTTCATCCCAATGCTGAGATTGGGTATTACACTCAGGCCGCTCGGGACATGTGGACTCACCTGCTGGAGGTGCAGCCTCAGACAGGTAAGCCTACTGAGAGGAGCGGGTTCATTGAGGCCAAGGGGTGTGGGCACAAAGTTCTGCTGTGACCCCTAGAGTTTCCACATCTGATGCTGATGTGTTTCCGAACCCCAGAGGGCTCAAGGTGCCCCAGCCCCATGCTCCAGTGACATGCTCCCCCTCACAAGTGTCCCACTCTTAGGGGAATCAAGCAGTGGCATCAGCCGAGACGATTACATCGGCCAGGTGGCCAAGGATATAGAAAACAAGATGCCCAAGGTCTTCGACCTGGACCTAGTGAGGAAGCACCTCGGGCTGGGCATCTCCCCCACATCGGTGGTGCTCCTGCAGGAGCTGGAGCGTTTCAACAAGCTTGTCGTCCGCATGTCCCGGTCCCTGGCCGAGCTGCAGAGGGTGAGCGCCCTGGCAAACAGGTTCCCACCTCCATGTGGAGCCTGGTGTTCTCATCACCTGGCCCTCGCTCTCATTTTTTTCCGCAGGCCCTGGCCGGGGAAGTGGGCATGAGCAGCGAGTTAGACGATGTCGCCAGGTCTCTGTTTATCGGGCATATCCCTCACATCTGGAGGAAGCTTGCCCCGGACACCCTCAAGTCCCTTGGGAACTGGATGCTCTACTTCCTGCGGCGGTACAGCCAGTACACGTCCTGGGTAAGGGAGGGGTCGCTGGTTTAGGTGTGGCCTGGACCCCCTGCTGCGGCCACCTCTCCCAGCCCCTTCTCCCGACCCCTCACCCCTGCCTGCTCCCCAGTGCCGAGCCCTGTTAGTGGTTGACCAGGTGCTCCTGAAATGGTCTCTGACTCTCCAAGTGTCTCTGTATCTGCTCCTTTTCATTTTTGTTTTTGAGACTTGTGAAGCACACTACACACAGGTTGGCTTACTCACCTGAAAGCCTATGTTGGCAACTGTTCCATCTGAGCACCTCTAGACCCACCTCATTCTTTTGGGAGTACTCCATTTTACAGGCGCCCCACGCCCTTCCTGCTATGGGTGTCTAGGTGGCTACCATTGGGGTTTCCTTTTCTTTCCTTTGGCCGGTACAGGCCACAGCCCAGGGCACGTGTGTTTGGTGGTCACGTGAGTCTGTCCGTGGTTCGTTTCTGAGTGGAGAGCTGGGTCAGAGTGTGGGCTCTCTGTTCTAAATTCTGGGAGCTCTCACCTGGAGAAGGTGAAACCAGAGCCCATGAGGGCGATCACTGCCTCACCTCTCACCAGCACCATGTGGGTTCATGTTTTGAATCTTTTCTCCCTGGGGGGTAAACAGGGACACATAACTGTCTGGATGTGCGTGTCTTTGACTATGGTGAGGCCGAGTGTATTTTACATTTCCTGTTACTTTTCCTGTGAATTGTCTTTTTGTGTTTTGGTTTCATTTTTGTCGAATTCTTCATCTTTTAAAGCTAATTTCTCAGAGTTCTTTGCATGTCAGGGAAATTGGCCCCTTGTCTGCCAGCCTGTCCCATGTCTTTTGACTTTGTGGTGTTTTTTCCAGAGGACCGTTTGACATTTTCACAGTCACATATATCAGCCTTTGCTTTTATGGCTTCTGGATTTTGTATTCTTTGCTCCAAGGTTATGACAACATTCATTGGAGATGTGATCTGGTACTTTCGTGGTTTTATTTTTTTATATCTAAATCTTTGCTTCATCTGGAATTGGGCATTCCAGCTTGCTTTTCCCAGATGGGCTACCAGCTGTCCCAGCCTCGTTTCTCTGCTGTTAATGTGAGCTATGTCTTTTAACGTGAACTCAGTGTGCTGTCAGCTTGGACCTGGCATTGCACAGTAGCTGCCCTTCCTTCTCTGCAGGCCACGGAGGGCGAGCCCAGCGTGATGTGGCTCTCAGGGCTACAGGTCCCGGAATCCTACCTCACGGCCCTGGTGCAGGCCACCTGCCGGAGAAACAGCTGGCCCCTGGACCGCTCCACCCTGTTCACGCAGGTGACCAAGTTCCAAGATGCGGACGAAGTGACGGAGAGGGCAGGACAAGGTGCAGGCGTCCCCCGTGGGCCCACAGCCTCTCGTGTCCCTGAGTTATGCTGCTGCACACGCCGGCTGTGTCTGTGCGCTGTCCACGTCTCCCATCTCTGAGGGGAGCACATACGTCTCCTCCAGCTTCTCCTTGGAGACCTGGGTGGTGTTGGGAGTCCTGAACCGTGCTTACCCTGCTGGTTTGTGTGAAATGGGCTCTTGGGTCAGAATTAGATTTTCAAAGAACTGGATCACCGGCTGGCTTCCCGGGAAACCCCGAGGGGCCCAGGGCGCGGCAGGCAGAGGGGTGATAGGCTAGACTGGAACCGTTAAATTAGGCTGTAGCTTCCCAAGCCTTCGACACTGGTCATGACCGTGCAGAATGCAGCCAGAAACTGCTGTCTCCCGGGCGGCTGTGTCTCCGCCAGGGGATGTTCACCTGCAAGTGCAGAAGCCTCCTAAGCTCTGAGGGAACTGATCCATGGTGAAGGCTCAGGAATGCTCAGGGTTTGTCCGACACATATGCCTATGAGAGCAGAATGACCAAGGCCTCTGTGTAACCCAGGTTCCTTCCTGGCTCCTCCAGGCTGCTTTGTGTCAGGACTGTACCTAGAAGGTGCCGACTGGGACATAGAAAGAGGCTGCCTCATCAAGAGCAAGCCCAAGGTGCTGGTGGTTGACCTGCCCATCCTGAAGATCATCCCCATCGAAGCCCATCGCCTCAAACTGCAGGTGGGAGGCTGCCCCTCTCATTTGCCCTTCCCCTTCCCCCTGTAGTTATAAGCGAGGAAAATGCACACACACACTCGTGTATGCGGACTTCGGCAAGTGGCGGGTTCAGGTTCAGGAGCCGGGGTCCAGGCAATGTCAGGGGAGACTATTGGCTGCCCATAAGGTTGTGTGGGCAGTGCCTGAGTCAGTCCGCCTGGAGCTAGCAGCAGCCTCCTGCTGTGTCTGGTCTGGGTCCTCTGAACACATGTCCACGCTAAGGTAGTGGAGGATTGCTCTGCAGTCACGGCCATGTGTTTGCATAGACGCAGCCTCGTGGGGGGCCCACTTCTCTGAGCACTGAAGTCAAGGCTGAGAGTGCCAGGCTCTCCCTCTGTCCGCGGGGACTTCCCACGTGCCTTTCCTTTGCAGAACACCTTCCGGACGCCTGTCTACACCACCTCCACCAGGAGGAACGCCATGGGGGTCGGCTTGGTGTTTGAAGCCGATCTCTTTACCACGAAGCACATTTCTCACTGGGTGCTGCAGGGGGTGTGCCTCACCCTGAACTCCGACTGACCCTCGTCACAAGGACCTGTGTAGACCTGTCCAGTCCACTGGCATTTCTTGGGGCCTCTCAAGAGGCAGGAGGGGGAGTGACAACAATTTTCCTTACATTTGAAATCAGCCATTTTAATCTGTCTCCACATAAATTAACCTGCATGGTTTTGTTTTTGAAGTTTTGGTTTTTTTTGAGTAAATCCTGAAGGACGGTTCTGAGACGCTGAGGTGTCTTCCTCCTCAGAGGAAACACTTGGTTAGGAGACGTGCCTGGCATGTCACTGACAGTGAGGACGCTAATGCACATTTTCAAAGGCATGTATGTGATGATCCAGGTGTTTCAGCAGCTGCCTCTTTGGGGCAAGAGCTGTTGGCTGAGGTGTGGGACAGAAGCCCCAGGCTGCCGGGCTGGGTTAGGCAGAGCCCCATTCCCTGGGCCAGTGTCACCCGCAGTCACTCCATCCCCCCCAGAATCCTCTGGCCTCCTGCGTGTGGGTGGGGCTGTTGAGCTTGGTGTTTAACTCCTGTGTGAGCTCCTACCCTGCCTTGCCTGGTCTGTGTGGGGTTGGGTATAGACTTACAACCTCCAGGACCAGGGGCCACTGGGGTCCCTTCCACCTTCTGCACACTGCAGGGCCAGCCTGGACCCCTGGCCAAGCCGACTAGAGGTGAGGAACAGCTTCACTCTGCAAGGCAGGGGCAGGGCTAAGCGCTCGCACAGGGCGGGGCCCGTCACGGCAAACAGCCTTTGCCAAAACCCCAGCAGCACAGAACATTCTAAGGGGTAGGGGTAGCTCTGGGCAGCAGGAGAGAACAGGGAACTCCTCTTTCCGGAAGTGAGCCCCCTACACACCCCTCCCACGGGCTGTGTCCCTGAGTGAGCTCAGGCCCCACTATGTCTCTCCCTCCCAGTCTCCTCCCTCCCTTGGCTGGATTAATAAAAGACACAAAACAGAAAGGAGGCAGGTTTAGAAAATAAAGTTTGTTGGGATCTTGAACATTTTGGATAAAACAAAAAATATGAACACACATTCAGGTTGTGGTGATATGAGAAGTAACATCATCTTATTTAGCTCCTGTGACATACACATACACCTGCTTGTCCGGCACTGCCCTGGGGAAGATGTGTCAGGAGGTCATGGGGTCTCAGGAGGGAGCAAGGTGCCTGGGAATACGTGTGGCTCCACCCTGGTAATGAGCGTGGCTATCTGACCTTATTAACGCTGATCAGCGGTGCAGCCTGCGGCCCTCGTGGGGCAGGGTAAGAAGCAAGCCATTCGCACAAGCGTTTGGCCACAGCAGTTAGTAAACAGGTATCTGCAGCGGGACAAGGTCACATTTTGGTGTCAGTAAAACAGCAAGTGGAGGGGGAGGGAATAATCTGTCGACAGGTTTGAAAACACTTGGCATGCATGGAAACTTAAAAAAAAAAAGGCAGATGGATGAGTCTTCCTGGTGGTGGTCACAGTGCGTGGACAGCTGAGGGCGGGGCGCCCGCAGGCTCACACAGTTCTGTCCGTCCCTGAGTTCTTCCTGACGACTTTGCCGCCCTTCACCTGGTCCACCGCCAGCGTCTCCACCTCAGGCTGGGCCTGGGGCGGGGTGACGTGGTGGATGCGGTGGGCCACGCCCACATGGACCTTGTGCTGCTTCTCATGGGCTGGGCCTGGCTGCTCACTAGAGCTGCGATCAGAAGCGATGGGGGGGATGACCAGGGGCCTCTCCTTGATGAGGTGGACCTCGGCCGACTCCCTGGCCAGCAGGAACGGGGTGGGGTCAGGCATGGCATCCACCGGTTCCCGCAAAAGTAGTTTCCGGCCCTCAGCCCCAAATCTGTAGACCTCGTCAAATTCGGGGTGCAGGGGGGCCGAGAGGCTCTTTTTCATGCGGCGGCGGGGCGTCTCCGGCAGCTTGTCCCTGGGGGGGGCGGGCTTGTAGCCAGCCATCACGGGGCTCCCCGGGCTGCCATCTGAGGTTCCACTGGAGCCGAGGAGCTTCCTCTTGGTGGCATGCAGCTGGGAGGTCAGGTAGGCGATGGTGCCGGCCCGCTGCTCCAGCTCACTCGACAGCACGCTCAGCTTGTGGCTCTTCACCTTCAGCTCCTCCAGGTACCGCTTCTCCCGCTCCCTGACGGTGTTCTCCAGCACTGCAATCGCCGCGTTCTTCCGCTCCAGCTCACACAGCAGCTCCTCGTGCTCCTGCTCCTTCGCTCTCAGCTGAGCCTCCAGTTCCTCGCATCGCCTCTGCAGCTCGCTGCTCCTAGAGGGTCCATCTCCTGGAAGCACAAGTGTAGGGACCAGGCTGAGCACCCACCACAGGGCAGGAGACAAGGGGGCCTCTGGGGCCCTGCCAGCTCCTAGTTCTCTGTTTACTGTGTAAAAGAAGGCCCCCCAATTTAAAAACTGCTGAAGCTAAGACGGGCAACTTCAGAGTTCTTGGCCTCGCCATAGCAGGAGGAGGCTGTCCTCAACCCTCCGGGAGCAAGTTCTTACCTGTCTGCTCTGAACTTTTGAGGGTCAGCTCGTACGTTAAATCTGCAAAGGAAACCACAGTGTGTTTCAGAAGCTTGGTCAGCCCTGGAAATGCAGAACCCATCAGCCAGCGAGTCCTGCCTGGACAGGTCAGGATTAGAGGCAAGTGTGAGAGCAGCGGAAGCTGGTGGCGGCCACCCTCCTTACCAGAGGTCAGAGGGGACCCTCCTTTCCTCTAAAACACCCCATTATCCACGACCAGCCAGCAGCTAACTCTCCTAACGTTATGCTGTGATCAGCGGTTCCAAAATGCACTGCAAGTTCTGACCACTGTATTTTTATGTGTTAAATATTTTGATGTGTTAAATTCATGATATGCCAAGGACTGCTGTATAGCCCCCC